AAGTTCATGCTTATTGCAGGACTTTTTGTATCATCGTGCTGCACTATTATATTTGGGTAAGTGACCTGTGTTTCGTATTATGATAATATTATGATAAAAATAATAACTATGATAAAGATGAAGCTGGACAAAAACATTTTCTCGTTATTATTTCTCACAGATGTTTATTAATGTAACAAACAATATTTTTTGTGCTGAATGAACAGAATGAAAACACATTAGCCACAATGTTTAGTACAGAGTTGTGTATTTAGTGTTATCCCCATATACATGTTGGGCTGCTGCAAATATTCATCACTGTAACAAGTTTTTATTAATCCACAGGAGAAAATAGATCCAAACTTGTGTAAGCAAATTTGCTAAAAACTACTGTGCCACGCCGCTTAAGGAGTCCAGGAATTCACTGATAATTAAAGTACACAGTTATAATCTATTTATAACTTCAGTAAGAATATATAGACTGTGAGCCGCAAGCAGACGAGGGAAGTTGTAACTTTTGTTTTGTTTTTTTTAAAGGTGGTGTATTGTTGTGTTTAATGATGAGTAATAAAAAGTTTCAAAGTTTACCATTCTTGTTAGTGTGTTCAGTCTGTCATGTAACAGCTCGCAAGCAGGCAGATTGTGGACCCAAATCTAAGACTCAGGAAGCAAGGCATAACAAACCAGGACAAACTGTGACAATATAACAAAGTTCAAGGGGAAAGATAATGACATAAGATAGCAAGGGGAGAAGTAACAGGTGGAAAGAGAGATTTAATCACCAATCACCAACAATAATTACCAAAATAAAACAAGGAAAGAGATACCACTGAATTGGGAGAAAATAAAAACAAATACAGAAATAAGATTGGAGGAACGGAATCAAAAGTGAATTAACTAAATGAACCTAAGGAACTGAAGCTAAGAACCGAGGGCATATAATAACAATATAAGGAACGTCAGGAAATAAATAGGACATGTAAAAACAAAGCAATAACAATGTGACTAGAAAGCTAGAATACAGTAAAAATAGCAAGAATAAAGAACTCTAATCCAAATATAACCTAAAATACAAAATGAGAAAAACCGTAAAGTGAAAAACTAAAAACTACGAGTTTAAGACCCAGAGACCATGGCACAATCACCTTTGCTTCAGATCACACACAGTTCCTCTGAGCTTATTTAGTTCATCTACATTTCCTTTAATCTTTCTATTCTGTTTGACACTTGCTGGCACTTGTTTCCTTTGCAGATTTCTTGATCGGGCTCCTGCAGGACCTATATTCATCAGTCTGTGCTTTATTGTGAGGTCGCTTGACGCTGTCGGCTTTGGAGCTGCTATGACATCTGCTTTCGCCATGACTGCAAAAATATTCCCAAACAATGTGGCAACTGTTCTGGTGAGGGTGGACAAACTTGTCAGACTGGCATGCTGTTTAGACATTAGAATCACGAGAAAACAGAACGACCGTTATAGGTTTAAGTTGTTATGTATCTCCAGAAAACAACTGGCTCTTGGCTATGATGTAAGAAATTCCCACAGTATAGTAATCTGGGTCACTACTGTTTTAGGGTAGTTTGGAGATTTTCACAGGACTCGGCCTTATCCTGGGACCACCACTGGGAGGGTGGCTCTACCAGTCTTTTGGTTACGAAGTCCCTTTTTTAAGTCTTGGATGCTTGCTGTTGATTATGGTTCCTTTCAACATTTACGTCCTGCCGTCCATTGGTATGTAAAACATAAGATTTG